TGCTGGGGAAACCTACCTTTGTGTGTGCACGGAGCAGGGACCGGCTCGGCTGGAAGGAGAACAAAGGGTTTTTCTAAGCCCTCAAATCCTTGTGGGGGTTTCCACCGGTGATTTACAACTTGGAGGCAGGCTCCGGTGGACCCAGGTGGGAAGGCAGCATGCCAGGGCTTTTAAAATGTGCATGCTCCTGACTGTACCCCTGAGGAGAGATGTGGTGAAGTGGATTTGAGTAACTGCTGTGCGTCTGCTTTGTCTTATTGTCCTAAGAATGCATTTCCCAGACATTTACCAGTGCAGTAATTTTTCCATGCGTTATCGAGTGATAGTGTGAGAGAGACCCCACTTTATTTCTATAATATTACAGCCTTGGAAGCCCTCCCACACCCCCAGGACAGATCTGTCCTAGCCCTCAGGGCTGCTAGAGTTGGAGTCAATGCTATGACAACAGTGTGGGGGAACAGTCATATGATTATGCTTATGACATTGTTCAATCATCATCATTTCTATCCTTTCCCTAACGAATCCATCTTTTTCTTTATACATTTGCCCATTTTATGCTAAGTGACATCACACGGTGTGCGTTCTTTTGGATCTGACTTATTTTGTTCAACACGACATTGTGAAGATTCATCCATGTGGCAGCATGGACTCTTCATGGCTGAGCAATATTCCATCGTATGCGTGGAGATGGAATATGAACACAACATGTGGGTCGCTATGAGTCGTCTATGACTCGACGGCATCAAACAACAATAACAATGACGATGACCAAGAGAGAGCTACGTTGGCCTAGTGGAAAGGAAGCTGTGCTACCAAGCCGAAGGTGGGTGATTGTCCTCTGTGGCCCTCGGCCAGGTTCAAATTGTCTTCCTGTCAAACATTCTTCTAGGTGGTATAGCACTGGTCTGTGCGTTGCTGTACAGAGGTAACTCGTGGTTGCTGTGATGCTGAACACTGTGACAGTGATGTGCCAGTTGTGGTAAGGGGCACCCATGGTGGACAGTGTTGGCTGGAGCTTCCCGACTAAATCAAGCCTGGAAGCAGGAGCAGCATCCACTTCCAAAATGGCTTGCCTCCGGAAACCCTATGTACGAACAGTGCTCAGGCCGTTCGTTCATAGGGTTGCTATGAGTCATCTACGACTCGACGGCATCAAACAACAACAACAAACGTGAGTGAAGAGCGTTTTGTTTATCTGCTCAGCTGCCGATGGCTACATCTGTTGTTTCTACCACTACCGACTGTGACTAGTGTTCTAGTGAATGTTGGCTGCATGTTTCTGTTTGAGTTCCTGCTTTCCGTTTTTGGGGTGTGTGCTGAGAATGCAGATTTCTAGGCCACTGTGGATTTATTTTGAAGCGTGGTCAGTGTTGGTGATTTTAAGAAGGCAACACAGCTTGAGCCCTGAGTGGTCTTTTTTGTTTTTCTACCGTCTGGAGTCGTGGAGTGCTGTCATGTAAACTGCAGCTCAGCAGTTCTACCAACAGCAGAGTGGACTCGTGCCCAAGCTGTCTGCATAGGCTCCACCCTGCTCGAGCCCAGGACAGTCCCGGTGGGATTCCTTGAGGATCTTCCACTCTTTCAACAACCTTCTATTTTCCGAGGGCCAGCATCTTTTCACAAGCTGCCTACAGCGTTCTAAGGAGCACACTGGTCGCACTTCCTCCAAGAAAGATTTGCTCATTCTTTTGGAAATTCATGGGACTCAGTGCTCTTTGCCAACACCCTGACTGAATATTGTTGAGCTGAATATTATAACTGAATACTCTTCAGCTAGAAAGAGAAAGTTTTATTGTTTTTATAAGCACCTGTCTTTAAGATTGAACGAGAATCCCAGAACACTTAATTGTGCATTATACGTATGACAACATCCCAGAATAACAGGTTGGTTGCAAAAAAGACTGGAGGGGGGTGGGGAGGTACGTCATCATGCAATAGTGAACGAATATTAAAAAAAATGTGACTGGGAGAGGGAGAATGGAGGGAGAGAGAGTAAAAGATGCAACAGTGAATGAATAAAAATCTGGCTTTTCTGTAAACTTTCATTAAAATCACAACTAAAAGAAAAAATTTTATGTAAAAAATTGTGCTCATACAAACCCTGTCCCTCGACTTAGGAGCTATTGTAAGAACAGAGGAAGGGAACACTGCATGGTTTAAATTCAGGGAAAGTGGACAGCAGGGTTTGATCCTTTCTCCATATCAATTCAGCCTATACCCTGCACATATCATTCAAGATGCTGGACTCTATGAAGAAGACTATGGCATCTGGATTGGAGGAAGACTCATTAACAACCCGTGTTATGCAGATGACACAATCTTGCTTGCTGACAGTGAGGATTTGAAACACTTATTGCAGCGGATCAAAGAAATAATAGCTTTCAATATGGGTTGTATCTCAACATCAAAAAGACAAAAATCTTACCACTGAACCAATAGGCAATATCATGATAGATGGAGAAAAGATTGAAACCGTCATTGACTTCATCTTACTTGGATCCACAATCAACACCCTTGGTACCAGTAGTTGGGTGATCAGGAGACATATTGCACTGGAAAATCTGATGTCAGGGATCTCTCCTTAGCTCCAAGGAGCAACGATATCAGTTTGAATTTAAGGTGTGCCTGATTCAGACCATGATGTTTTCCGTCACTTGCTATGGACAATGAATAAGGATGACAAGAAAAAGAATTGATGCCTTTGAGTTGTGATGTTGGAGAAGAACACTGAACACACTATGGACAACCAAAAGAGCAAACAGATTAAGTCTTGGAAAAAGTACAGCTGGAGTGTTCTTTGGAGGCAGCGATGGTGAAGCTTTGTCTCATGTACTTTGGGCGTGTTTCTAGAAGAGGCTGTTTCTTGGAAAGGGACATCATGCTTTGAAAGGTGGAGGGTCAGTGAAGGAGAGGAAGACTCTCAGTGAGAGGACCAACACAGTAACTGCAACAATGGTCTCCAGGGTGTCAGAGATGATGAGGGTGACAGAGGACGCACAGGAGTCAGGTCTGTTCACAGTGGCACTGTGAGTCATACTCAACAGTACCTAACAACAACAACAACATAGGTGTCTTTTTGTCACACAGTCCCTGGACGACAGGAGAGCATATTACAGATGATTGTAATGATTGGCATTTTCTCATTTATTCTTTGTGCCAATTGCTTTCTAAAAGAATCGGAATGTTATGGGGATAATGTAAGATTACTTCATTTTACCCAAGAATGAATTGTTATATGCCGTCAAGTCAGAACTTACGCATAGGTGACCCCTCAGTGGGTGTTCAGAGGCTGTAAATCCCATGGGAGGAGATTGCCCGTCTCTCTCTTCTGAGGAGGAATTGGTGGATTTGAACCAGCATAGCTCCTCACCAGTAGGCCACCAGAACTTCTTAAAGAACTAATTAGGTGACATAAAATTGATCAGTTCATTCAATTCACTGGAAAAGAGGAAAGAAATCAGTTAAGTCAATTGACTTCAGTCTTCCCATTTTAAACACTGGAAACACTGTGGAAATGATATTAGTGATTTGTGTCTTGGGGAGAATGTTTGAGTTAATATAAAATTCTCTATGGGTACAAGTAGAGTAGAAGAAAAACGATTCTCAGCTAAATTTTTCTCTTTCATTGGGCTCATAATCTTTAATGTTTTCTCTTACACAAATCGTTAGCTTTCAAGTGCCATTGAGACAACTATTAGCAGTTAGCTGGGGATGTGAAGGGGGGAGTGGCTCCCACTTGGAGTGAATTCCTATCGATCGTGTTAGTTGCCATAGATGCTGCTCCCATTCATGGCATCTCCTCGTGCAGAGCGGCACTGCCCCAGAGGGCTTTCTTGGCTGTAATCTCTGTCATTCACTAAGTCACTCATTGCCACTGAGTCGGAACCAGCTCATAGCCAGCCTTCTGGTGGCTTTTCGGAGGCTGTGAATTGCACTGCGGGGATTGCCAACTTTCTCCCACTGAACACCTGCCTTTGGGTTGGCCATGCAACTCCTTGGGCAGAGGGTGGACTTGAACCACCAACTTTTCAATTAGCAGGTGAGCACTTGACTGCCACACAAAGAGATCTCTTCTCTTATTCCAGAAAACCTTTTAAGAAACAGAAGCCATAAGGCAGTTGGTTAATTTGCTTATAATAACCTTTGAAAGACTGAAGGACACCAATCTAGAAGGAAAGAGGGAGAGAAGTATAGAAATATAGTGGGCATCTACGACCACCCCGCTCCCAGCACCTGTTTCGATCACCCTCGTTTGTCCATCTGTCATGCTGCTCAATGCCAAGGAAGTAGAAGTCAATAAATCAAAGGGTGTATTATATTATGCAAGTCTCTTGCAAAATACCTCCTTCAAGTGATAAAGATCAAAGATATTTTGAAACCTAAAATGCCCCTGATCCAAGTCATGGGTCCCCCGACCCCAAGAACCTATTTTGTATAGGAAAGTTGGACACTGAAAAAAAAGAACGATGCCTTTGAATCGTGGTGCTGGCAAAGAGTATCTCTACACCATGGGCTGCCAAATGGTTGGGCTCATCTGTTTGGAAAAAGTGCAGCATGAAAAAAAAAAAAAGAAAAAAAATGCAGCATGATGATGTTAGAACCAGGATGATAAGACTTAATCTCACAAACTCTTGTTGTGCTATCAGGAGGGGTCAGTCCTTGGAAAGAGACATTGTGCTTGACAAAGCAAAGGTTATTGAAAAGAAGGCTCAGAACAGGATGGATCATGGTCCCAGTAATGGTGTCCGTCATGGCAACACGTTCAGACTAGCCCAGGACTGGGCAGTGTTTTGTTTGGTTGTGCAGGGTCACAGTGAGTTCTAACCCAGGGACAGTGGCACTTGACAACCACAGAAACTGTCCAGTGTGTTGATGAGCAGAATGAGGGTCCGAATCCGCTTGTCACGTGCTTGATGGAAGCGATAGTTAGACGTGAATCCTGCTCGCCCGTGTCCAGAGGCCGAACTTGAGCGACACCCCCACCACCCCTTGTTCCTCAGCTGCCAAGTGAGGAGGACCACGTGCTAGGGCCCCAGCTAGCATACGAGGTCCACAAGGTGAAGTGAAGCAAGTGCAGCGAAGTGTGGAAGTGTGGTGGTGGTGGTGTTAGTGCCGTTAAGTCAACTATGACTCATGGCCGCCTTACGGACAACAGAGCTGAACCTTGCCCTGTATCGTGCCATCCTCCTGATCGGGTCACTGGACCAATCTGCCGTGTCGAGGGTTTTCTCTGACCCTCCTCCTATCACAGCATGATGCCTTTGCTCAAGGACTGTCCCATCCTGACCACACAATGTCCTGACCACACGCTGTCCTGACCACACGCCATCCTGACCACACACCGTCCTGACCACATTCCCAAAGTAAAGTCTGGTACCCTAATGGATAGAATTGCACGCCTAACCCAAAGATGAAAAGCTAATTAAAAAAAATATTTTCAAGGACTGAAACCTTCCCTGCTGACCCTCTTGGTTGTGGCTTCTCAGATGGAAGATAAGTAATCTCCTCCCGTGAGATTTACAGCCTCGGGAAACCTGCTGGTGGTCAGCTGAGTTGATTCCTACTCCATGGCAATGACTTTGACAGCATTGTGGGTGGGGTTGAGGGACAAACAAGAGAGACTGAGGCACCTGAGACCAGTGGCAGCCAGGAGGTAGGGCCACCCGCTAGGCTGCAGAGCTGGAGCCCAGGAGGGGTCTGCAGGCTTCAGCTGAACGTAGCCACCACCTGGGGCTCTGAGGCCAAGGGAAAGAATTGGGCAGATCTCTCACCTCCATCTATCATCCCAATCAGGAATGACCCTTGAGGATTTTCCGTCCACAGAGGCTTGTCTCCAGGATACAGGGCAGAACAGGAGGGGCGGGACTGCAAGGTGTGTTGCACAATGTAGGCGGCCAGGAAATGCTGCATCCAAGAAAATCTCCCACAGATTTTGATTCCTCTGAGTTCAGGTGTCTCCCCAACTCTCTGTTGGCAGAACTTCCTAGTTTCCACAACAGCAGCCTCATATCTAAATGGAATCTCACAAACCAAGCAAATTTCCCTAGAGGTCAAATGGAAAAGAAATTCACCGACTAGAGCGAATAGAGGGAGCTCTGGTGGCCTAGTGGTAAAGAGTTTTACTTCCAACCTAAAGGCAGGAGGTCCAAAACCACCAGCCCCACAGAGGAAGATGGACAATCTCCTCCCATGAGAATGGCGACCCCTGAAAAGCCTCTGGAGGACCAGCTATGGGCATGTTCCAACTCAGCTGACACATAACAACAAACAGAAGACACAATAGTGCAGTGAGGAATCGCAAGCCAGACCTGAGAACCAAGAAGAAGCCTGATCGAAAGATGCTGAGGCTCTGGGGTGGGGGTGGGGGGCGCGGGGTTGAGATATGAACAAACACATCAAGGGCTAAATGAGAAAGAGTAATTCTGTAATAATGACATCAGGCCACTTCAAAGGACACTGCCATTTAAACCACGCCGTCTCCACGTAGTAGTGAGGGGAAAGTCTTCTAGCTTCATAATTATAATCATAGTTGCCATAACAACTTAGGATCTCTCTCCTCGAGCATCTTTCTCAAAATGCTATTTTTAGCAAGGGCTGTGCCTGAGCATGTCTTTTTCTTTATATAGCAGCTAATTTTTCAAATTACTGATCTTTCGGAAAACAATTCCATTTTAGCTCTCCCTGCACGTTGAAGTCTCAGGGATAATTAGAGAAATGAGCAGGTGTGGAAGTCCGCCCAGAAAAAATGCTATAAAAGTATTGATTTCCTGACAGCCTTTGTTCCAACAGAACATTCTCTGGACCCAGATGTTCTATTGTTCCCTGTCAATCGGGTTAACGGAAGTCTTCGCTGTGGGGCTCATGAATATTTTAAAAATTATTAGCTGTGCAAGGCATTTGCAGGTCCTTCGACAAGCACAGAATCATGTCGCAAGCAGAAATGACCTCCATTGAAGCCAGACTCTGAGAACTCATGCACAAACCCTGGCTTACCTTTCCTCACAGACACTCACCGAGGAGACCCCAGCGGTCTGACTTTATGGGATGCCTGAGAACCCAGGCAGGCAGGCCAGGCAGGATTCTGAGGCTTCCTTTGACCTCCCAGTTACCCACTACTGCTGCCCAGGGACCAGGTCTGCTTTCACAGCATGGCTGAAATCCAAGGAGAGTTAGCACATTGTGTAAGCTTACCCTAGAGAGTTATGAGTTGTCTAAGACTCAACAGCACTTAATAACGAGAGAGCTCTGTTTGCCTCATGGATAGAAAGTGATGCTACCAAGCCAAAGGTGGGTGATTTTAATCTGCGGCCCTCAGGCCTGGTTTTAATTGGTTTTGGTCAAACATTCTTCTAAGTGGTATAGCACCGGTCTGTCCATTTGCTATACAGAAGTTAACTCATGGTTACTGTGATGCTGAACACTGTGACACTGATGTGTCAAATGCGATAATGGTTACCCATGGTGGACAGTGTTTGGTGGAGCTCCCCAATTAAAACAAGCTTGGAAGCAGGATTGGCATCCACTTCCCAAATAGCTTGCCTCTGGAAACTCTATGAACTTGGAGAAATGATGAAAGTTATACAAGTGTTCAGGTCTTTCGTTCATTGGGTCACTAAGAATCATCTATGACTCAACAGCACTTAACAACAATAACAACACTAACCACCACTCTAGAGTAAGCTCCACAGACATTATCTGGGAGGATCTCTTGTGGCATAGCACTGTTAACCACAAAGTTAGTGGTTCAAATCCACGCTGCTGTGAGAGAAAATGTTGGGCAATCTCTTTCCTTAAAGATTTACAGCCTCGAACAGTGGGTGGAGGAAGGCTCTGAGTCGCCTCGATGTCACTAGGATTTTTGGGAGTTTAACATCCTTTTAAGGAGTCTTGGTGAAAAAGCACTTAAGCATTTGGCTAGTAACAGAAAGGTCAACAGTTCAAGCCTACTAACCACCCCATAGGAAAAAGACATTTGCTTCCACGAAGCTGAGGGCATAGGTACCCCTATGGGCTGTCCTACTGTGCCGTGTAGGGTCGCAAAGCACAGCAGAGGTGGTGAGGAGGGCGCTGGGTGGGTGGGGTTGTGTTCTGTTGTGTGTGGGTCACAATGATTTAGGGTTGACTCATGAGTTGACTCGACGGCACCTAACAACAACAGCAAACACTGTCTAACAGTAGCACCAGCAAGGAGGGGGTGAGCTGTGTGTGACTCCCAGCAGCCCCAAGAGCACAGTCGATGGCTGCGTGTATTCCTCAGGCTGTAACTCCTCCTGTGGCCGGACTGCCGGCCGCATCCTTCTCCCCGGGAGCAGCCCATGGGTTCAATCCGCTGACTTCCATCACCGTCCACTGCTCTCGTTGTTGTTGTGTATCGCCAAGTTGGAACCAACCCATAACTGACCCTTCAGGGGGGTTTTCACAGGGATATTGTCATCCTTCTTCCACAGAGCAGCTGGTGGATTCGAACCACATGCCTTTTTGATTGCAGCACAGCTTCTCATAACTTATTGTTCCTGAAAAGTCTTTAGACAAGATTATTCACAAGCAAAGATTTGTGGAGAATTTTCTGTCTTTTCATTACTCTGCAGGTTTCCTTGGAGGACATGACATTGTTAAATGTTGTTGAGTCCACTGCAGCTTACAGCAACCCTGTGACAACAGGCCCCCCCTTGCCCTGTCACATGCCATCGCCACACTGTCTGCCACATTCCAGCCTGCGGTTGGGGTTGCTGTCAACCCCTTTTATTGAGAGCCTTCCTGTCTTTCACTGACCCTGAAATTAGTACACTGTTGTGTACCATTGAGCTGGAACCAACCCACATCTGACCCTCCGGTGGGTTTTCAGAGGTGGTTAAATGCCCATCCTTCTCCTGCAGGGCAGCTGGTGGACTTGAACTGCAGGCCTCAGGATTGCAGCGTCTTGTCACTAGGCCACCAGAGCTCCCTATAATAAAGTAGCCACTAGTTTGTGTCCAGGAGGTGACAAAGCATATCCCTGACTGTGTTGCCCTTTGGTGGGTGCTGAGTGTCAAGTTTAGGGGTTAGGTGAGCCCCTGATTCCAGGTGGAGGGGTGCACTTTGAATGCATGGAGAGCATTATGCTTCCTCCATAGGAAGCAGCTTGGTAAGTGGTTTTTCAGAGGGAACTGCTGTCTCTTGGTAAATGAGTCTCTCAGAGGGAATTGCTAGTCTCTTGGTAAATGGGTCTTTTGGAGGGAACTGCTGGTCTCCTCAGGTGCAGGACAGACCACCTTGCAAAGGGGTCAGAAGTGTCCAATAGCCTGTCCAGGGCCACCAGGATGCTCTAGGATATCAGCCCAGGAAGAGGTGATTTTAACACTGTGATCTAAGAAGCTGTCATGTATTCTTGTCGTTCCATCGAGTCGGAACTGACCCATAGCTGACCCTGCAGCGGCTTTTCAGGGGCAGTAATTGCACAGGAGGAGATTACCGTCCAGTACTGATCCAAGTCTTCTACGAGGAGCCCAGGGATAAGGGGCAGGCTGCTAGCCAGTGGTCAGTGCTTTGAACCCACCGCCTACTCCAAGGTAGAAAGCTGAGGCCGTCTGCTTCCACAGAGATCACAGGTCGGCCTGTCCCGGAGGGAGTGGGCGTCAGGGGCTGGGGTTTCCATTTGGTGGTAAAGGAAGGTGGGTGTAGGTTGCTTTGGGAGTACTCCGTCTGGGAAGCTGAGAGTGAGGGAACCAGGTCTCCGCAGATAGGCTGGGCTGGGATGTGGGATGAGGCTGAGAGACAAGAGAATGAGGTCAGCTTTGCTACCCTGTCTTTCTAAACTCCATTAACCGACAGATTCCCGGTGTGCAGCTTCTGAGTGTGGGCCATGGGGACCACTGAGGGGAGCCGACAGGGCCAGCGGCTGGGAGCACTGCCATCGATGTGATCAATGTTTGCTCTGTGTGTGCTGCTGCTTTAATTACGTCTCTCCAGGGAAACAAACAGCCAGCAATAGCGGGGGGAACAGTGAGCAGTGGGGCGCTTGTACGGATTGCCAGCAGGTGGTGGGAGTCAGGTCTGGGCAGATCGATCTCCGGATGTT